GATTGCATTCGATAACGTATAAAAAATTCTATAAATTATAGTTACTTATTATCATTATTTTTTTAAAAATAATTTTGTCGAATTACATCACATACGTACCGGGTGTAAATGTCGCATGCTGTAGAAAATAACGGATTTAATTCGATTAAAATGCTTTTTATGGGTTAATAAATTTACGATTTGAACGTTATGGTGCATGCGATACGTATGTATTGTGTATTAACATAATAAAACCAATAACGTCGATGACGATGCACACGTGTGTACATAATATGCGTATACCTATTTCGCTTGTACGCGAAGAGCGCTTTTCTTATATAGTTATTTCTCGTACACGTATGATAATGATAACAGTTTAAATTGAGCGTTTTTTATTACGTAAAAAGATTTTGAACGTTTCACTCCTCTTTCAAAAACGCGATCATAATACAACCTGTGCAGACCTGCGTATGTATATCGGACGATCAGAATTTTATGTGACAACATCATATTTATTTATAATAATGACATTTTATAAAATAAGTAATCTAATATTATTTGCGAGATTTAAATTTGTCAATGTTTTTTTTAGAGATGTTTTAGCGGTAAACTTTTAAAAATCAAACGAGGACCTCCTTCATTACTTTATTTTTTATTTTTTTTTGTAACCGGCTGCCACATGAAATTCTTATCACTCTGTATATTATTAGTTTTGGAGCAGTCGTATTTGAATGTTTACTCTACGTGTATGTCGAAACACGAAAATATCGATATTATGTTTTACGTTAAACTTGCGAGTCTGATCCAATGGTGGGCGAGTATAAAACTTAACGGGTATTTTTACTACAAAAATATGTATAGGAAATATATATATTACTTATACGACGACGCTCGTTGCTATCTGGACGGATGTCAAGCTGTCCAGAACCGATGAGTATAATACAGCGTTTACGGTCACTCGTGCGGTCACTATACACCATGGAAAAATTCTATTTACGACTCGCTAAAATTTCGTCATGTATAAATGTGTGTCGTGCATTTCGTTCTAAATTTAATGGCAGCCCCCCACTATACGTACGCATGTTGGAAAACGAAAAACGAAAAAAAAACATTCTACGACTCTTATATAAAATATAACAGCGCAAATAAGATCGGTTCGATCACTGTCATCCCTCAACTTGCATATACAGATCTTTCTCTCTCTGTTGTTATTTCCCTTCGCGTAGTTATTTCTTCTTACTTGTTTTTACATATACTTAAGCTCGTTGGTGAATATTTTTCGATTGCATGTATATAAATATGTATAAATATACACATATCTACACTATTACTGTTTTCGTTAGTATATCATATACGGTAACAAAAAAAAAAAATTAATCGAATTTCCAAGTACGTTCTCAATTCCATACCAACACAACTGTTTCTTGTTCCGAATTCACGTCACGTGTCCACGAGAACGGACAGGCGCGTTCTTAAGATTTACCATTTATTTCGGTCGTCTTTGGGTTCAAAATGACAAGCCGTCGCCGACCATTGTTCGCCGTAAACCTTTATTTGCATACACACGAGAGCCGAGAAGGTTTTATTATATAATACGACTTACGTACTTTTCACTTGCTTGTTTGACATGGCCGTCGTCAATTTAACGTGGTGGTGGCGGCATGGCGACTTAGACAACGACGTGTGAGGATGACAGGCTTCTTGTACTTATGTATAGGTAAACCGACGTGCACGTTTATATTAATAAAATATTCTTTCTGTTTGTCATATGATGCTCTTTGGACGTGCACGAAAACATAGGTATTTACGTGTTTTTGTTAACGAGGACGTGTACAATAGTAGTAGTATACCGACGACAATACGCATACACATTTATTGTTTATATATAGACGAGCTATATACGATTCCGGAGGGAAAGCTAAAAATTCGTATACGCGCATTGGGGTGAGGGTATATAACGTCGTGTGTACCATCGACCCTTCGATACAATAAATAACGACATCAATTCGCTCTAAGTCATCGCGGCAGCGTCGGTAGTGACGCTGAAAACGGAACAGTTAGTATGTGTGTGTGTGTGTGTGTGTGTGTGTGTGTGTGTGTGTGTGTGTGTGTGTGTAGTATTTATAGTAAATATGTAGTTTTTGGACGCGTTCCGTCTTTATATATATATATATATATAGCAAAACGTTATTATATCATGTCTTATATATATATTATATTACGGAAATTTTTGTTTCGATTTTTCCCCGGGGCCGCAGTAAAAGGGGAGAAAAAAAACAAAAGGTAATTTTACACGATTCAGAGGGTTTTTAATGGTTAGTATAGACATTTCTAATACATGCTGCTTCATAGAGAGATAAAGAGAAAGAGAGAGAGAGAGAGAGAGAGAGAGATAGAAGGAATTGCTCTGCCTATATATATACCATCCTCTACAAATTCACTAGTTTACGTATTTTTGATTTTCCTGTGCATCCTTATACATATGTGTGTGTATGAGAAATGGAGAGAAAGAGAGAAAGAGAGAGAATGTGTGTTGTGTTTTACGTGTATATTTAGGTACGAATAAACTCATGTGATATACGCTTTATATATATATTATGTATATGATTTTATATACGTTACATGTTTACGTAATGTTTTTGTATCGGAAGATGATTTATTTGAGACGATGAACAGTATTTGCGCTAAGAGAGCGGATCAAACAAAATATATATATATATATATATTAAACACGGAGATATGAAATGACGAATCCAAGGTGCATGTATGGAGCGGTGGAAACCCAAGGTTTGGTGGAATAATATTTGCTCAAAATTGCTCATTAAAACACAAACACGCGTGTGCAAGTACCAGCTGCTACGAATATAATGAAGTAAACTATGTACACGCGAATCTCCGTAACATATGCCGACTGCAGCATCGTTTATTCTTATTCGTGTCCACACTTCTAGTGCGTACTCCTCCCTGTATTGCGTTAAGTGTTTTTTCGACAACAGCGTTGATTTCATGTCTATAATGTTTGATGTTGTATTGTGTTATTTTTTTTTGAACTATGCGTATATGTTAGGTACATACATTGTCGTGTTTGCTTGCGAAGTACAAAATTACTGCAGATGTTGTTAGAATCGTTAAAATCATTATTTTTTATTTATTTTTTCCCTAAACATGTTATAAAGTATACCGTGTCGTGCATAAACATCGTACAAAAAACAATATTAATTAATCGTTGACATTCGTACGAAAAGCGTGCGGCAAGCTCTATCATGCTCTTTAAATATTTTTATGTCTAATTGTAACTATTATAGAAAAGTTAAAAAACCGCTGTTTATTTAGCGTATGAAATTAGTTCTACCATGTTATGATATATAACAGTCGAGATTTACCCGTATTTACATATATGCGTATTCAAGTTCGGTGAAACGTTATATAATATTCACTTGAATTATTGAAAATAAATTCTCTCACGTTGTCTGTACATAAATATTCTAATACGACTACTAAATACACGCATCGCTCACCACTGCTAAATAAAACATTTAAATCGATATTTTTATATTTTTATAGACAGGTTTTCTTTTTAAGTAGATTCGGTGTTCCCATTTTTTTTTGGGAGTAATACGGTTATGATGTTTAGCGTGTGTATACACATATATAGTTTCTTCGTAATGCAGTATGATATGTTTTCGACGTAAAACGAAATTACTTAGAAATGTATGGACTAAATTACATTAGATCCCTCCCTTTACCGCTGAATATTATTATACATGTAAGGGTTATACCTGAATACTCGCGATCAGATTTAATAATTTGGTATATGTGTGTGTATATAGGTACGGGTAGTCCGCTGCGATGTAAATACGCAGTACCACTCAGTGGCGTGGTGAACGATGTTTGTTTAATGCTTATTATGCTTATTATGGCTTAGCCTCAAAAACCTATCAAGGGGCTGGGTGTCCTTTGGCTTATGTATTTATGAACATATTTTATTTAAATAATTAAATTAATTGGCTACCAAAAAAAAAAATTACATGCAATGAAAAATAATTTAATATGCAAATATGGTAAATAGGTTAGGTATTTTAAAAGAATTAATGAAAGTCCTATATGTAAATAGTACATTTGAATAGTTATATACTTTTTTATTATTTAGTAAGGGGAAGGGGGGGGTGTATCATTATTTAAATACTTTGCTTAGGGTTTGAAACATGCTTGCCACGCCACTGCTACCACTATTGTATATAATAAGGATGGGTAACTCAAAATACCTAGATGGCTAATTTTTAGAATTTTAAAATCTAATGGGCTATAGTAAAGAATGTAAAAATTAAAATAAGGTTATTAAAATTGACCATTAGCATTTATTTTAAATAATTTAATTTTACGACTGAATCAATACTATAAAATAAATGCTTAAAACTTATAGCTATGTTAGCTAGGTATGCTGATGTGGGTATATATTATAGGTTGACATTTAGTGATTTAGTTGGAGTTTAGTGCTAGAGAAAAATATAATATCTACATTTTACGATCAACGTGATAAACGCTAAAATGTTATGACATGATTTGAAACTGTAGCACGGGATAGATCAGAAAAGGACAAGGGCCGGATGAGGCCCGCTGACAGCCAGTTATATATATCTCTGGCATTTAACGTATTCTGTAGAGAATAATAGTAATAGTTACGTTGCTCTAAATGAGACATCAAAAATGCCTCGTTCATAAATTAGCAGTTATAATCGCTCTATATGGGGTCTGACTACCCACGGGGGTGTGCAATAGGTTTCTTCTGAACGTACCCTAACTAGAATGGTATGCTTGATGGAGTTATATATAGTTAAACGAAATGTATTTTAATGAGTACCTAAGTTTAACGAAGAAGGGTCCAATACTTAGGTCTGTATGTTAGTATACAATAGGTGGTCATATATTCGTCAGATATAGTATTTGACGAACGTGTTAATTCGTGTGAGGTGGGACTTGTCTAAAGCAGTAATTCAGTTTGTTATTGTTCATTGTTTCAGACGGAGCTCTCACAAAATCTTCAACAGCTGTCCGAAAAAGCTCGTACGACCACGGAGTTCATTCAGAGGCTAAAGCAAATGTCTGAAAAACTTAATGTAAGTACTTTTATAATATATATATATATATATATATATATATATATATATGTTTGTGCATGTGTATGTGTGAGAGAGATATTATACTGAAGTATAAATGTAAAGTCGAATTAACGGTTATCATATTTCATTATTCGGCAATTGTTGCTCATGTCGTCTTAGGAAAATATTTGTTATTAGAAATTAGAGTTATTTGAAAAGCAAATATGCTTATAGAATTAAATGCGTTCGTTGTCGTCAGTACAAACATTGTTATTTTCTGTTCGATTTATGTATAAGAAAAATAAACGATAAAGATAAAACCAAATTCAACTTGTATCGCGTAATATAATATTTTATGAATACGTCGTCGTCGTTTATGTTTATGGTGCACACTATTTAGTGTTGCTGCGCAAGTATACCGACACTTTTATTTATCTTACACTGAGGAACCAATTTATCGAGAGTGTACAGCATATGCGTATAAGAGATAGGGTAGAGATAATGCACTTTCGTTATCGTTTATTATGATTACTATTTTATTATTCGACGAATTCGATGTGATGCGTGTGATTGATACAGGGTGAATGTGAAGAATTAGAAAGGCAAGTGGACGCCAGGTGCGACGCACTGATCAGGTCGATCGAGAGGCGGAGGCAGTGGCTAATCGACACAGTGCGGCAGGACAAGGAGACGAAACAACGATCGTTAAAGGAGCACGTGGCGAGCTGTACGTGCAAGCTACAGAAGACCACGTCCCTGTTGCAGTTCTGCATAGAAGCTCTCAAGGAAAATGATCCCGTTTCGTTTTTACAAGTAAGCGCCGGATGTATTCTTCATGATTTGTTCATTAGGGTGATCGTACACGCTCGCGTGTATGCGCACTTGGTACATCTGATACTATACTCGTATACTCATGCTGGTTGTTTTCCGATAACCCGTATGTACAACATATTATAGTATGTTCAGTGCATGTGGTATACTAATTAGACATTGGTTTTTTTTATCTCCGTCTCTCTATCTCTTTTCTCTTTCTATTTAGGTCGGGTCAATGTTAATAGCCAGAGTTTCCAATACAGACCTGACCTGGCATAAGGACGTGTTACCGTCTCCTCGATCGTATCACCAGCTGGATTTGACCCTGGACGATAATACTGTGTTGAAAGCGATCGAACATATGAACTTTATACAAATGAAAAGTACGTATTTTATGTGTATTATAACTGCGCTATTATAAACGAGCACATAATTTACATTCATTTTTATATAAATATAAGCTATACAGTGGGTGTTATACGGGTAACTGATTAAACTCACATTTGTTTTTTTTTTATAAATATACGTATATGGAATATAATAAATGTGTGTTTTACATTGCTATTTTTTTTTTTTTTTTACTAAACGCTATTATACTAAATAAAATTATCGTTTTTTTCCTGCTTGCACTTATCTTATAAAAGCAATCGGGAACAGGGAAGATATGAAAGCTACAGGTATAATATATTTATATATTTTTTTTTCTATTGAGAGAATTTACTGAAATAAGTGTTTTCTTCTTCTTAATATAATGATAAATGCATGCGAAAATAACAATGTGTATAACGTTGTGTGCATTCTTTGTGCCGCCTATTTATCATACATTCTCGGTCATTTAACTATACTTGCACGTCTAATGCGTTTTTTTATCGATATTTTTAGCTCCGAGTGCTGCTTTGATCATCACCGAAGAGTGTAGTGCCGAAAACAATAGTGTCACAATCGCATGGCAACCGCCGGCTTCTTCGTACATCGAAGGTTACGTGTTGGAACTGGACGACGGAAACGGCGGAGATTTCAGGGTTGGTGTACTCTTATAGTGAATTGATTTTCGCGTACATAATGTGTGTTCGGGCTTGGATTAGAAAATTATTATCTTATAGTGTTTACCTACTCGGTTGCAAGTGAAGATTAATGATATATTGTACTCTCTTGTCCGAATATATTTTTAAAACTAAAGAATGTGGGCTTGGCAGAGAGAGAAAAATATTATTTTCTTTTGTCACTTACATAGTATACACTAAAATATTATTATTATTTTTTATTTTTGGTATGCAAATTTAGTATTTTTTTAAATGATAAATCGATTTATCATCATTGAAATAATAGTACGTAATAATAGTTTTTATACGATAGACAAAGCTATTTACGAGCTGTGTTCGATAGAATTGTTTGGTGGCGAGAGAGTAACAGTTATGTTTATATACAATATTTATATGATAACAGCGAGGTATTCAGTTTTTCGTTTTTCATCGGAAATTGTGTACATTAGACGTTAAAATATTTAATAGATTTTTTTTTTGATTTAAAATGTTTGGACACAGTGTAAACGTAGAATCTGTTAATGAATAAAAAAAATTTTTTTGATAGACTTAAGTTCACAAAACGTAATGAATAACTTTACGTATAATTCGTGAATTTTATCGATAATAAAAAATAATAACGCGAATATTACAAGTATTTTATGTAACGATTTTGGCTAAAAAAAAAAAAAAAAAAAAAAAAAAAAAATATATACACTAATAAATAATAATAATGTACTAAGCACTTATGTAAAAAAAAATATTAGGTTTAATATTAACCTTTTGTGTTTATAAAATCAATAATCAAGTTTATAATATCAATATGATATCGCCAAAATAAATAAAAATATAATAAAACATTGCTATGAATAACTTTAACATGACTGGCAGACCAACCATCCATTATTCTATTTTCATTATCTTATAGATAATACTATATATTATATATAGTTTAAACATATTGTGTCATTAAGAGAACAGAAAAAAAATTCAATATTTATTATTATATTGATACAATGAATAATTCGTGAAAAAAACTGTATTCTCGTTAAATTACAGTTTATTGAATCATAAAATGATTTTAAATGTCTTTGAAAAATGTTTTCTTATAATGAATGAATCATTTCAATGAAGTATGCATAAAAAAAGGTTTTAAAGGCAGTCATTATTTCTATTGTACAAAAATGTTGACTTAAAAAAAAATTCACATTTTAAACTGAATATTATTACATATTAACATATCAAATTTGACTACATATAAAATAAAAGTCAAATTTTGAATTAATAGCAAAGTATTATGTATTTGGTTTCTTCCTTGTGTAACTTTCTACTTGAGTATTAATTTTTTTTCTCTATGCATCCGAATTCACAAACCCAAATCGTATTATAATAGAATTTAAATTGGACAGTCGTAAATGTCGACGTATTAGGTATTGAAAATAAGCGAATGTAAAATAACTGGGAATCTTTGAATATATATACGTAAGTTAATTGACTATTGATGTATTATAAGGTCGTGAAATACATTCGTAAATTCAAAAAGGACATTTATTTATTTATAAACGAATATTTGGCATAATTTTGAGTTTGTAGCATATTTTCTATTAATTATGACGGCAGTAAATTTTTTTGTTTTTCTAAATCACTATAAAATACTTCTTAAAAATAATTCTTCGGCAAAAATGTATTACGAAGGATAAAATATATGTTTCCGGCTAAACTGGACTTTTTTAGAATTATCAGTAAAAAAATCAGTAGATATATTTTATACACTAGACTATTAAGGTATTAATCAATAATAATCATTTATTATTATTTACTAAACCTCGAAATGAATCTTGAAGGCTTATTTTTTTTATTTATTGTTATTATTCACCAAACTGACCTTTTGTTTTAAAACCATGGCATTGGAAAACGAGTTCGATTGTATTGATTGCTTATTATTTTTGAAGATAATACTTCGCTTATTGCATTGTATTATTTATTTTTACATAAAAAAACAATAAACGACGAATGATTTTACATTGAGATGGCAAGTGATTTTACTGTGATTTGATTAACTATACTATTTTTTAAGTAAGTATGTATTTTATTTGTCTTGGTAATAAAACGAAACATAGTAGATTATAAAGTTATTTGCTATTACATTAGCTTTCATTTATAATATGATTCATATTAATGTTTCAATCGCATTACGGTATTATTAATAGTTTTATAAAAATTATATTTGTTTTAAAATAATTGGGAAATGTAGAATACTCTAACAAAAAAAAAAAAAAAAAAAACAATCATTTAATTTTATATTACACTTTAAATTAATATTTTCAACCAGATGGTACATACTTTTTTAGTGTTAAATATTTTGATTGTAATGCATTGTTTATTATTTTTACTATTGAGAACACCAAACACAATATTGATTGCTTCCCCATTTAATGCAAGTGGTGTATGGGTATGATGTAAAACTTTTCGAATTTTTATCGTAACTTTCGATTAATCCTGAGGTCTTGGACTTGTTGTATTTTATAGACGTGATATAATTTAAAAAATCATTACATCAACTGTAATTGGGTTAATAATATTTTCAATTTCTAGGATATATATATATACAGAGATGTCTTTTAGTTTATTTTTTTCTACAATTGTACTTTAAAATAATTTATGTCGAGAATATCCTTAGTATTCTTGTCGTTATTAAAAAAATGAAGTGACATTTTATTTTATTTTTCTCTTACGTTTCTAGGAGGTGTATTGCGGTATAGAGACCATTTGCACTGTTGATGGATTGCACTTCAATTGCACATACAACGCCCGAGTAAAAGCGTTCAATAGTGCTGGTGAAGGAGAGTACAGCGAAATTATCGGGTTGCAAACTTCCGAAGGTACGTACATTATTATTATAATACGTATGTAGTGAATCCGATCGATCAAATGACGTGAGTATTTACGTAATATGGTGCCACGTAAAGTTAATATCCATTAGCAGTGAGTAAGTGGAAAGAAAACTCGTTTTTACTTCCGGTCTTTAAGGGAGGAAAAATAAAAAAAATCGAACTTGAAATATATATATGCATACGGCTGTAATACAGAGTAATAATTATTGTTATTGTTTTTGCAGTTGCATGGTTTGCTTTTGACCCATGCCTTAGCTCACCGGAACTTTGCTTCACGCCTGATAACCTGACGGTGACTTGCGAGGGATTCGAACACCGCGTGGCTCTGGGCAGCGTAGGATTCTCTAGGGGCGTGCATTACTGGGAATTCACGGTGGACCGGTTTGACGCGGACACCGATCCCAGTTTCGGAGTGGCTAGGCTGGACGTATCCAAAGAAGAAATGCTTGGTACAGATCTTAAACTACTCTAGCGTTTAGTCTTCTTGTTTTTCTTGTTGCTTTCATTTTTCTCACTTCGTTTCTCAGGCAAAGACGAATTCGGTTGGAGCATGTATATCGACAAGCAGAGGTCCTGGTTTATGCACTGCCGCAATCACGAGCAGCGGTGCGAAGGCGGCATCCAGGTGGGCTCCACGGTCGGCGTGCTTTTGGACCTGAATAAACACCAACTGTCGTTTTTCGTCAATGACGAACCACAAGTATACAAGCGCTTACGTTCTGCTTCCGAGCCAACTCTAGCCCGTAAGGGTGATGACGTGGTGATCTGTCCAATATTGGTGGTGGTAATGATTAAATTTCAAGGAGAGGCGTTCAATCCCCTCCCGTTAATCTATACTTTAATCAATGTTTTCTAACTTTTATGCTAAGGTGGCCCATATATGTCCTATATGTTTTGTAGACGACCCTAAAAAAAAAAATACCCATAATGCTTTTTAATATAATAACATTACTAATAATTTTATTATAAGAAATATTATTTACATTGACGCAATACTGCAAAACTGATTTCTTATATCTTCTTCTCCTTCTTTAGTTTCGGCCCTTAAGACCATCCTGAAAACGATAAACTTTGCCACCTATCCCTGTCCTCCGCTACTTCTATCCATTTGACACCAGGCTCTATCCTTTTCACTTCTCTTTTCACACCATCTTCCTATCTCAGCCTAGGTCTACCTAGTGGTCTTTTTCCTATAGGGTCTTCTTCGATCACCCGTTTTACCAAAGTACCCTGTTTGCGCCAAGCATGTCCTGCCCAACTTAGTTTTCGTTTGGCAATCTCCCTAACTATACTCGGCCTCTGAAAAAGTCTTTGAAGTTACACATTATGAAGTTTTCTCCATTCATTAGATTATCTATCGAATATGAGGCCGACAATTTTCCGTAGAACTTTTCTTTCGAATATCATTAATCTTGATTCTTCTGTTTTTCTCAACGCTCATGTTTCCGAGCTGTATAGAATAATTGGTCTTAGTAGAGTCATGTACATTTTGATTTTTAGGTTTTTGGATTAGACCTTCGATTTCATAACTTTTTCAAGACCATAATGTCCTCTATTCGTTAGTTGTATTCTTGTTGACACCTCTGTCTTGATGTCGTTATCCTGCATTATCATCGACCCTAGATACTTAAATTGTGACACTCTTTTGAACTTGAGCTCTTCAATTTTGATGTATTGTTCTAGACCGCTATTTATATTTCTTCGGCTAGCCACTAGGTACTCTGTTTTTTCCTCATTGACGGTTAGGCTCACTTTTTTTGTCGTATTTATTAGTTTGTTTCCTAATCTCTTTATCATATGATATCTAGATCTTCACCAAGGAGAGCGATATCATCCTTATATGTTAGCATTCCAATTGTGATCTGTTCTAATATAACTCCCTCTGAAATGTTCATCTTGCGTATTACTCTCCAGTACTAAATTAAACAGCACTGGAGACAGAGCACACTTTTCCTTGCTGAAGTCCTGTAGTTACTCTTGTAGGTTGTGATGTTACGTTACCTATCTTGACCTGTATATTAGTATGATTGAGACTTGCTCCAATGAGATTAATAATTTTCTTGGGGAATTTGTAATCTTTTCAGAATGTTTAAAAGACTTTCTCTATGGATAGAGTCGTATGCCTTTCTAAAATCCACAAATAATATGTGTACAGCCTTGTCGAATTCTAAGCGTTTTTGGATAATTTGTCTTAGAATGAAAATTTGGTCAGTTGTGGATCTATTGGGCCTAAACCCACCTTGATAGTCACCTATTATATTTTCAGCTTTGGGTACTACTCTGTCTAGTAAACAATATGTTAAGACTTTATATGTTGTATCTAATAAAGCATTACCTCTGTAATTACTGCATTTTTGCGGGTCTCCTTTTTTATAAATAAGACAAATTCAATATTCACCCCAGTCTTTCGTGAGATGTTCCTCAGACCATATATTTTCGATGATATCATGTATTCTATTTATTGCTACCTTATCCAGATTTTTTAGAATTTCTCCTTGAATTCCATCTTCTCCTGGTGTTTTATTGTTTTTTAGTCTATTTAATTGATTTACTATTTCTATTCTACTAGGAGGTGGGCATTCAATGTCGTTAGAGTCTGATGTTATCCTAGTAAATGTTTTAGATGGGTTCTCACAGTTGGTCAAAATACTTTCTCCATTTTTCTAGAACCTTGTCTTGTTCCGTAATTATAGAGTCATCGTCATTTTTTAATAATCTTTCATGTTTTTTGTACACACCCCTAATTGAATTAATCTTCTGATATAGTTCACGAGTTTTGTTAACTCTGTGGTTGGTCTCGGCTTCCCATAATATGTCTTTCGTGAATTTACGTTTTTCGAATCTAAATATGTTATTTGCCTCTTTTTGGCGTTCTTTATAAGTAGTTTCTTTCTCTCTATTGAAGGGGTCATTGATCCATTATAATCTAGCTTCTTTCCTTCTGTTAAGTGCCTCCTCACAAGAAGTGTTAAACCAAGGTTTCTTCACTTTCTTTTGTTTACCTATCGTTGTATCTGTAACAACTTTTAAGGTTTCCTTAATTGACTTCCATTTGCAATCTATCGTATCTAATTGATTAATGTGTAAGTTAGACATTGCTTCATCCATCCGTTGTTTGAAAAATTCACATACAGTATTGTCTTTAAATTTATTTACTTCATATCTGTCCACAATTGCACCTTTTTTAACTGCCAATTTTTTAAGTTTCACGTTTAGCTTTCCTTTTACCAGGTAGTGGTCCGAATCACAGTCAGCTCCTCTGACTGTTTTGACATCGTGTATACAGTTTTTAAACTTTGTGTTAATCATGACATGGTCTATTTGATTGGTATATCTACCATTAGGCGCTTTCCAAGTTCCCTTGTAGATATCTTTGCGTAGAAATATTGTACTTTTCACAACAAGTCCACCACCACTTGCAAAGTCAATAAGTCTAAGTCCGTTTTCACTAGTTATGTCATGCATGCTATGATTACCAATGGTTGCTCTGAATATGTTTTCCTTTCCCAATTTGGCATTAAAATCGCCTAAGACTATCCTAATTCTATTACCAGAGGTTTCATTTTGGATTTGTTCCAGATTCTCATAAAATTCGTTCTTTTCCTCTGGTGCTTTTTCCTCCGTAGGTGCGTGTCCATTCAGAAAAGTGATATCAAAATATTGTCATTTAATTTTCAATGTTGATATCCTAGGGTTAGTACTTTTAAATTCTGTTACCAAAGAGACTATACACTATACTTTTGTGTACTGCAAAACCCGTTCTAAATTGTCTTCGATCATTACATTCTCCGTAGAATATAGTCGTGTCTTAAAGATCCAAGGTACCTTTGTCGTTCCATTTAATCTCTTGCAAGGCTACCACTCCTAAATTATATCTCTTGATTTCTTTGACTAAGTATTGTGCTGCTCCAGGTTTAAAAAGTGTGTGAATGTTCCAAGTTCCAAAAGATAAGCCAGATTTCCGTTTTCCCGTCTTGTTTTCCATAGCTCCACATGTCCGAGGCAAGTTTATTGTTGTATCCTGAACAAGGTTTTTTTCACATGGAAGGGTTGTTAGCCCTGCGCATAACCCCCAACCTGGAGGATCAGACTACCACAACGACTCAAGGTCATGGTAGGGCTATTGCAGTGCACTTGGGAGCGCCACTTTCCCTACGCCGGGCACTGATTTCTTATATATGTATAATAATATTTTGATAACTAAAATATTTTTCTTGTCATTAGTTTACGAAGTTCGACCCATCAACAATATTTTGCTATCCATTGTTGGGTCGTGACTCATGGTTGGAAAATGCTACCTCAAATGAAAGCATCGGGTGATGGCTCTGTTAACATTGTTAGAACAATCAAGGAGGGCAATCAACCCCTCTAAAATCCGCCACTGACCGCTATTCTGTGTTAAAATACTATTTAAATTAAAGTTACAAACCAAGCTAAGAATTTAGGATAATATTCATATGTTCTTCGTGTACTTCAAATTAATAATGTCAGTTTGCCCATGTTGGAAAATGATCAGGTCGATTATACGAGTTGGCCGGAGCGGAATTAAGTTATACACTTCATAGTTATGATAACCATTTTTCTGTTCTTACAGGGTCCGGTGGCTTTCAACGGTCTGTATGGTGTCTTTTACCCTGCAGTTAGCGTGAACCGAGGCGTCGCAGTAACGTTACACACAGCTCTTGATGCTCCTAGTGATGTGGACGACTGTTAAAACATTTGCGTTTTTATTTTTCTATTTTGGCGCACAAATTACAAATATAAAAAAAATGAACATGATTTTCACATTCTCCGATTAAAAGTTTTTTTTCTTTTTATTATATTCTTTTTTTATATTAATAATCTTAAGAGTATTTTTTATTTAAAGTTTCTATTCAAAGTTATGCGAGTCTAATATTTTATATTTGTACTTATATTAATGTAAATGTATATAATGATTGTGTGTGTGTATGTGTAGTAATTGTTTATTTTTGCTAATTATCTCTTTCTCAAAAGTACATCAGGGAAAGTGGAGTAAATCACTTGTACTTAGTATGTCTTGTGCAACGCGTGTAGGTTTCTTTTCAAACTCCTGAAATTAACTACTGTATTTTTTATTTTCAATTACTTACAATTTGTTAGAACATAATATTATGTTACTATTTTATAATAGTGTTTGAGTATTTAGATTTTATGTATGAAAGGGAGATGGATGATTTACAGTCATAATTTTTTTTTTTACTATTTTATGATTACACTTTTGACTATATTAATGTACAGACCCCTAGTCTTGTTTATATGATTATGTATTTTTTAATCTGTGGATATATCAATACAAAATATTGTTCTTTATTTTACATTGTATACATAATCATAGGTTTTTAATCTTATGTTATACAATAGCATATATAGTGTGTATATTTAATAAGGAAATATTGTATACATTTTTATTCATTTATTTTTATGTTAGTAGTAGTTCATTATATTATGGTTCATTCAATGTATTGTTGTTGAAAAAATTCCATTGGCAAAATAAGAAGCCTTGGGTTTCTTTGAAACATCAATTTAATACATATTTTGAATGATCTATGCATACATTGTAACCATAGCAAAACGCACTAAGTTAAGTTATTTTTAATTTTTTACATCTAGTCAAATAAATATAGATTTCATATGATTTCTCATAAAGACTGAAGGATACTTGACTAAATATAATTAATAATGGATCCGACGTTAATGTTTGTGATCTTAATGAATATTTTATTAGGATAGTATTATCAAATTAATAATAACCAACAGACTGAGTTATTATCAATTCAAATGTTTTAGACCACAGCTCTGTTTCTGCTTTGTTTTTTTTTAATGCTCTATACACACAATAGAAAATTTCATTTTCTATTGCGTGTATAGAGAATTATATCATCTTGGTCAGTGTTTGATAGAATAGTGGAGGTTCTATAGTTTACATAGCTGTAATGCCGATTTTTATTCTTTTATTAATTGTGTCCACTATTATATCTCTCGAATAGAATTCATTTAACCTATAAATAATTCAAAATGCTTCTAATCGAGTGTAGTGAAAATAATAAATTATGTTATATATATATGATATGTATATAACTACCATTGAATCATGTTAATTGATTATTTTCCTATAGAATCTACTCACATTCCTCCAACCTGCGCTTCGATTTTGATACCTTACTTTGTATTTCTTATCATATGTATACATATTATTATATATATCTTTACTTTTAATGTTTTATGTTTATATAAAAATTCTATTTAATATAATGTATTATACATACACCACATACATTTTATGACAACAGTATAATCTATGGTTGTAAATGTAATATGATTTATTTGTAATAATTAGTTTTTAAGTTTTGGAAGTGGAAAATTTTTTTCTATTGTCTTTAATACTGCATACAGTATACCTACTATAAATTATGGTCAAAATAAATATGATACTTTGAATTGTACAACATGGTGTTGTATTGATTTTTTAAATCCTTTTAGTATAAAATATATATTTTGCATCCATTGAAAATGCATCTATGTAATGAGAATCTCTGTAAATAAAAATATATGTAAGGTTCTACAGTGCTCGTGGTCTAACTGTTACACATGTTTCAATATAATGTTTTCAATTTGAATCTAATGGTCCATTACTTTATTGTTGGTTTTCGAATTTTGAGAATTTTTGTGTTCATATCGTGTATTAAGTCAAAAAAAAAAAAAAAAAAAATTAACAAAACACATTTCAAAAATAATATTTAAAATGTTAGTTAAGTATTAACCACAGAGGTGTCTGTAAAGTAATCGGTATATTTTCCAACAATATAAAATAAGAGTTTCAGCCTTACATTTGTTTCTTTAACATTAACATTTTTGATGTTTGTGTTTCATTATATGTATTGCCTACATATAACTAGGGTTCAGGACTCATTTTACACAAATTGTAGAAAATATGTATGCATATATGCACTTAAAATAACTGAAATATATGCAAAAATAAACCAAATTAAGTTTTTTAGAATAGCAATTAAATTTTTTTTTAATTTGCTTTATTGAACTTTAAATATTTGACAATTTTTTTTATTTAGTAAATTTTTTAACAGTAACTCTAAGTTTAATCCATAATACTACTCTGTATGATCGACATTACTTTTTTCTTCTTCTAAAATGAAAAAAAGGTAAAAATAATTGCATGTTTACCTGCAAAGTTGGACTGTAAAATTAGATATTTTCTAATATTATCACATTTAAATGCACGGTGATTTTTGGTCAGCATATTTTATAAATTAAAAATGAACGGTTATATTTAAAATATACCAAGTCATTTAATTTTAAATTTTTGGGTGAAACTTCGAAACTCTTGATCTTCAGATAACATATTGAAAATTTTAATTATTATTGATTTGTAACACATTTTTTTTGACACAGTTTCAATTTTTATATTTACCCTTTTTTCCTGTACACCACGGCAATACATTTTTCAGTATTTTATTGCCACGACCATTTAATACAATATATTTTTTCTATTATATATATATAATATTAATTTACAAATAAATAGAGCTAGGTATACACTGAAACAATTAGGCATTTCCTTGGTTTTGACGTCCAATGTTGATGACTCATTTTATGATTCGGTATTAAATATTAAGTATTAAGTATCAACTGACATATAATGGTAAGAATAAAAAAAGGAATGTTAATTATTAGAATAAATTCACATAAAACTTAAAAATGAGTAAATAAGCATTAAATAACAATTAAATTGTAAATGTGTCTAGTTTGCATTTTTGCAAAATTGTAATTTTAAAACCAATATTTTATCTTTTTTTTTTAAATATTTCCTTTATATATATGTATTGAATCTATAAATAGCTAAGTCATATAGGCTAAATATTTTTGATGTCGAAGCCTTAATAAAAAAATTTAAAAAAATGTATGTGATGATACGAAATTTCACTGGGAATGGTGGGTTTTAGTAAACATTATCTTAATTAGTGTTTCTAAAATATACATGTACATGTGTAAGATACCTCTTTTACTACTTATATATTTGAACATTAATTTTCAATTATTTAAAAAATGTATTATCATCACCTCATCGTTCGTATAATATAAATTCTTATTCTGTAGTAAGCACATTTAACTTTAAAGTGCCTTATAAAGCAATAATTTTTTTTTAATCCGTAGATTGGTTGAATGATGAAATATTTCTCCATTTTTTTCTAACCATTTTGATTTCCTTCAATCAGGTCGATCTTGACAATTAAAATACTTCTTTTTTTGTAAATTTGTATATTTTTGTTCAACACACTAGGTAATATTAAAATTAGATTAATAACAATTAACAAAAAAAAATATATAGTAGTAAATAATTGTGAAATACAACATTTAATACACATTTATACACTGAGTAGTACATAATCTAATGGATATTTGTCTAACTGATCATAATTTATCGTATAATTGAATCATATACAAGAATACAATAGTATTATGAAAATAACAATTGTTTCAAATAAAGAATAAAAAAATAATTTCTAGCATAAGCATAGATTCTAAAGTTATATTTTTGTTTAGAGAATTATTATTGACGATTTCCTTAATACATTAACTTCCTTACATTGTAATTTTCAGTGTTTATATATTAATTTTCTTTTGTCCATTTTTAAAAATGTATTTTTCCAACTTAGTAATTTATAAATAAAGTGATACGTTATTCAATATTTATTACTATGTATCTATATATTATATATAAATATATATTATAATAAGTATATAATACTTAACTTTTTTTTTCGTTCAGGGGCCTCGTTTAAAACATTGGCTCCTGGGCCCTAAAATATCTTAATTCAGGCTTGCAAAAATGTGAATAATAAAATAAATTGTTTAAATCGGTGATCTTAAAATCAATTTATGGGAATTATATGGTATCTTACAATACAAGACTTAATTTTTATGTAAATAGGTATCTACATCACCATGAGCATTTTGACGATTGTAAATTTAGATTAAGTTGGAAACAAAATACCTAGGTTATGTTATGTCACCAACCTTGGTCGTTATTGTTTTTATATTTATAAGCAAGAATCTGTTTTCGCCGCGACGAGGAATCCGGTCTAGCCTTCGGCAGCGACTCTGATGAGGAAATGAGGAATGGTACCGCTGTCATAACGGCCGTTTGGTAACAGCACATTATCAATGTGTATTGTTAAATTTAGTGATAAAAACAACTTTACGCAAAACAAACGTAATGACCAGGACTCGGTAGTTAAAGCATTTACTTATTTTTATGGATTGACTTAAGATGTAATAGAGTGCTATAGAAGTGTATGTCAAGTTATAACACGTACAATTATGAAAGTTTACAATTTTGAAAGTGCTTTTTTTTGCTTTTTTCAGCAATTTTTCAAAAAAATGTTTATTTCCAGTTTTTCTGATTATTTTTGCTTATTTGGCCAGTTTTTTTACGTTTTTATAGTTTTCTCCTACAAAGTTATTTTCGATATAATTAAAATTAAAATTAATTCTCATCTATGTTGTCACATAGTTTATCGTCATCCAAGGCATCGATGTAGGGTTAACAAAGATATTTCAACGCTGAAAATAGAACTGAGTGTCAAACGTCAGAATGATCAAGAACAGAGAGAACAGTTTACATTTTATTTTTCAGAAAAATCCCTTAGAAAATCCATAAAATCCTTAATTCTTGAAAGTGAAGATTTATATTTTAGTGAGAATTTTATAGTTTTTTTTTTTTTTTTTTTAATAAATATTTTTGCTTAATTTAAA